TTATTTTTAGACGTAACTTTACCAAAACTAATGAGATTTTTGTCCATTTCTTTCACAAACAAAACATTTGACATTTTATGTTTAACCTTTTGTCCATAGACATCAAATTCTTGCAATATATTACCTATCTTAATAGCTCTTAATATACGACCATCAGCAATTTTTACATTTATGGGTGTATGAAGAACAATAGATTCATAGAAATATTCCTCATTATTAACAATGTGGTCAGAACATCCACTATCTAGTAACCATTCTACTTTACCTACGCAACTAGTTACTATTGTTTCATGCAATTTGTGTTTAACCTCGTTTTCCGTACAAAAACTGCTTGTATTTCCTTCTTAATTTCTTTGACCATGATGATTCTGCTGCCAACCGCCACCACGACGATGTTGACTTGAGTATTGCTACCTCGATTACTACTGTTACCACGATAATGCCAATTTTGTTGTTGCCCGCCTCCTCGCTGCTGCATGCTGCTCCTGAGTTTCCAAGAATTGCCACCCGGATTCATACTTGTCCACTGGGCTTTGAAATGTCCATACTTTCCACATTTGAAACAAGTTTGTTCTTGTTTTCTTTCTGTCTTGAATACACTTGTGCAATATTTACCACTTTCCTCTTTTTCTTTTAGTTCAACCATTTTAATTTTACTTTTTACGTACTCAACAGTCTGGTCATCTTCTTTTAAAACATCGACTAAGTCCCCAACATAGCTCAACGAACTTGGAAGCATCTTAATCATGTAACTTAATTTTTCTTTTCAGATACTGTAGCACTAGCACTTTTTAACTCATTTACTAATTTTTTAAATTCAGTAAAAAATGTAGCAGTATCTTCAAAATCTTTTAACCTTAGTCTTTCCAATTTATTTCGTACACAAATTTGAAGTGCAGTAAATTGTTTTAAATACATTTCATCAAACTTTTTTGTTATCCCATAGGCCGTTTCTTTAACTTTAATAAATTGTAACTGATCATTTGAAATTCCACTATACGTTATACATTAATAGCTTTCTTTTTTATCCACAGTTGTTTTCTCTCTAGTTAGAACTTCTACACACTTCTTCATTTTTATAATCATTGTGGTTCTTTTTTCCAGCAATCATAATCCTTTCCATTAAAAATTGGAATTTTTATTTCATCAACCATTTTGAGTCAAAATTATTTGACTTCTACTTGCGTCAACTGTCGCTTTTTATTGTATCTTCTTTTTTGATTCCACACATAGATAATAAATCATTCCACAGCAATTACCTTGCTTACTCTTTAATCTTCACGTAAACACGCTCTGCTACCATGAGAATTAACGATGGGATCGTGTGAAGATTAATAAACCATTGCATAAATAGTAAATATATTTTAACAGAATATAATGAATACAACTAACATCTCTCAACTAATTCTCTTCCACACTCTTGATCACTACAATACAAATTTACTACCAATTTAACAATCGCTATAGGTACTATGCTCCACACCTCAAAGTCCCACCACGTGACCACGTACGGAACGCAGTCTTTTGAAAATTTGGCATTTAAGGCTTTTCAGGTTATGTATCTGTCAAAGTATAGTCAATAAAATAAATAATATTTATAGTGTTGCCGCTTATGTTTAAGCGTTAAAAGTTAATAAATCTTTATAGTATTACAATAACAATGGTTGGTTTAAGAATTTAGGAATATAAAAACTGCATTTAATGAAATTCCAAGGTGCAATATAAGTGATATTTTTGTGCATTGGGTCTACATTTCTCCATAAAATGGAGAAATGATATCATTTATTAAAAAAAATCTAACTTCTCTATTATGAAATAAGAATATCTGTATCAAAGGTAGGTTAATGTATTAGAACAAAATATATCATCTAATTTTGTATTTTAAGGTTAGAAAAATCTATTTTGAACAAAATAAATAAGTGGATTATTTGGAAGAGTGTGTTAATATGGTCATAAATAAATATAGCTATATATAGTTATAATGATTTTTCGATGTAGATCAAATTCAGTCAAAGCTTTTTAACTATTTGTATTGACAAAACTTTATGTAGGTACACTTTAAGTTAGATAAGAAAAACTACCACATTTTTAAATACCATATTATACAGTCTCTTAAATAATCCAAAATACTTATTTATTTTGGTCAAAAAAAATTTTTCTAACCTTAAAATTACAAAATTAGATGATATTTTTGTTATAATATATTAACCTACCTTTAAAACAGATATTCTTATTCCATAATAAAGAAGCTAGATTTTTTTTAATAAATGCTGTTTAGTTAAAATTATTTTATGGAGAAAATCAGATATTTGGACCAAATGCACAAAAATATTACTTATTTGGCACCAAACACTTTAGAATTTCATTAAATGCAGTATTTATATTCTTAAATTCTTAAACCATCCATTGTTATTGTAATGTTATTAGATTTATACATTTTTAACGCCTAAACATAATATTATTCCTTTCGTTGACTATACTTTGACAGATACATAACCTGAAAAGCCTTAAATGCCAAATTTTCAGAAGACTGCGTTCCGAACGTGGTCACGTGGTGGGCCTAAACCACAACAAATAGACTGATATCTCTGGTGGAAGGGGTAAAATATTATGTTAGTACACTTCCAAGATTACTGGCGCTGTTAATCATATAACAAACTGTAATTAAATATTGTTAGTACAGTTTTAAGGTAAAAGATGGCACTGTTTATAAAAAGTGGCGCCTTATTTGAAATGGATAACGCTTATTTAAAAGGAATCAAGCGACAAAAACTATATAAGAACTTACTTAAAATTATTTGTTAAATAACGAATTTTAAATACTGTTCAAAAATTCATTTTTATTTGGAAATAAATAATTCCCATATGATAAAACATTTTTAATAGTTAAAAATTCGTTATTTAACAAATAATTTTTTTAAGTTCAGATATAGTTTTAGGCGCTTGGTTCCTTTCAGTTACAATGATTTTAGGGGGAAAATAAAAATATTTCAAATACCTACATACAATTTTTTTATTAAAAAACTAACCATCTGTAAATGTAAATGTATTATTTTAAGTATCACAAAATATAAAAAACTTACTGTACAATCAAAACTATAAAATCTTATATAGGTATGTATAAAATCGTCCAATATCGAATAACACAGCCAAATATCATAAAAAATCACAAAAAAACACAAGGAAACAATCCAACGCGATACGCAAAAAACAATGACAGATTATTAACAATGGCGTCAATGACGCCGCGTCATATAACAAATATGGCGTCAACAAGAACGACAGTGTTGCCGAATTTGGGGTAAAATTCCGCGAACGGCAACAGTGTGTATCAATAACAGCGCCAGTAATCTTGGAAGTGTACTAACATAATATATTACCCCTTCCACAAGAGATATCAGTCTATTTGTTGTGGTTTAGGGTGGTGGGACTTTGAGGTGTGGAGCATAGTACCTACCATTTCTCAACTAAAAGTCTTAAGCCTGAATTATAGATTGCCTTCCTTCCTTCCTCCCGTAGTCGTGCCCGTACGATTTGTGCGTCTTGTAAAAAGTCAATTTATAGATTTCCGTGTAAAATTTCGTAACCATGCGCGATGACACCTAAAATGGTTGACATTTGTTTTTGTTTATATTCTGCGTTTTACCCATTGTGTGTAAATATGAAAGATAATCATTTATATATTAGTGCAGTGATTACAATTTTAATTGCCCAGGCAGCTTGTTGTATACTGCCCAACTATGGAGAAAGGCAGCAACTGCTAAACAAGAAATTTGTGGGAAATTATCATAAACTACATTTTTATAAAAAGCAGTAGGAATTTAACTGATTTATTTAACTTAAAGGATAGTTTACTGCCTTTCTTTGTTGAATTAAGATACAAAATGTCCATGGCTTTATCATAGCACAAGAAAAGGCATTTGTAGTTACTGCCTTTCTCCATAGTAGTGCAGTATAATGAAAAAAAAACATCGAACAAGACTCGCCCACTTTACCAAGACCGGGAAACTACGGGGTTTTACAAAGCAACGTTTCTAAAAATGAAAGACATTGATCATAAACAATATCTAAATATCCTATTTAGAGACACAAATTATTTAATAAACTGAACACCTATCTTAAATAATTATTAACACCTATCTTAAATAATTATTATTATTATAATACTAAACAATCATGTATTTTAAATATTTTATGCCTACGCGTTGTCACCCTACCGCGCATGTCCATAACAAGCACTGTGATTGGTCATATCAAAGACCTTTACGGTGAAAGATAAAACTTAAAAATTTCTACGGGAGGAAGGAATGCCGTCCTTACGGTACGGGAATCTATAACTGGCACTACGATTTAAATAAACATTTTTGACGTAATTGTCACCATTAACATTGCCCGTTATTAATTTTAATTAAACTTAACAATTATTGATACTTTAAAATATTAAAATAACTTAACAATTATTGATACATTAAAATATTAAAATAACTTCAAAATATGATTTTGTTAAGAAAATATTTTATTCTTTGATTATTTTTACTACTATAATTGCAAAATATCACAAAGTATTAAAAATTCCTACACGGGAAATGTTAATGGTGACAATTACGTAATGTTCATCTTCTACGGGAGGAAGGAAGGAAGGCAATCTATAATTCAGGCTTTATTAACTCTTCCAGGAGACTCCCAAATCTTGCTATTATTCTGACTTACTAAAACTTATTCTGACTTTTTGCGACTTAATAAATCTTATTAATAGTTTTTAAGAGAAAGTAAGACTTTCAAAACCCTTATTTTTACTTATTAAAACTTTTTCAGAGAAAAATTTCCACAAGGGTATACTAAGGAGGATGTAGAAAAGTTTAATTATTTTTATACAGCATTACAAATTAAAGTAAATTAAAGTAATTAAAGAAAATTAAATTAAAGTTTAATAATGCGAAAGTATATCTTTTTTAGATGTATTTCATTTATTTTAGGCTGGTAACGTGGTTACGGGAGAAATGGTGGAAGAACTTATTTTATCCGGAGCAGATATAATTAAAGTGGGTATTGGACCTGGTTCTGTATGTACAACCCGTATGAAAACTGGAGTTGGATACCCTCAGCTTTCTGCAGTTATTGAATGTGCTGATGCAGCACATGGTTTACAAGGACATATTATATCTGTAAGTACCACAGCAGGAAAAAAATAAAACCTAGGTTAGAGAGCTCTCTAAACATATTATACACACAATATAGTGTGCTCGTTTTAATTTAATTAAAGGATGTATGTAAATCGCATACGGCCAACAGCATGCAAAACAATGATTTTTGTACGAAAATCTCACAGAAGTAATATTACGATTTTTTTAAAAACATTTGAACTAATTTTATCGAGGGGCCCTGTCCTAAAGATGTCATATACCGTGTTTTCACGCCAAAGATATACAGTGCTTAGTGCCGAGTGCATACAGACGCCTTGAAAAAGACTTACAAATGATGCTTGCTTGCGGTGTCCCCACTTCCTTTCGGCTGCACTTAGTCCTCGGCACTGTTTACCTTTAGCGTAAAAGTATGGAATACAAATTTATCTTGAGTTCAGTTCAGTTCTTGATAACTTAAAAATAGGAATTCTTAAGGACATTATAATTTCTGTCAAGTTTTTAATTTATTAAATATATAGGTATACAGATAAATACTTTTAGATTTTGACCTACGAATTCCAAATATAAGCGTCCTTTTAACATATCACGTCACAATTTTTTTTATTCACATACACTGAAAGAAATTTATGTTTCATATATGGACTACCACATACATTGCTAAAACAAACATATAATATATTTACCTTAACCATTTTTATATTTAGTTTTAACATATTATGTTAAAACTAAATATAATATATGTTTGTTTTAGCAATGTATGTGGTAGTCCATATATGAACCACAAACATTGCTAAAACAAACATATATTTCTTTCAGTGTATAACACATTTAGACGGAGATGGCAAGATGATTTTCTGTAAGGAAGGGTAGTGATTGCTATATTATTGTTATATTGTTATACCGTAGCGGGTGGCTACTTTGTATCGCAGGGCTAATTTTTCCATGCGTGGCGAACTTTTGTAGAATGCGTGGTAACATTTACAAGGAATGGATTGCGACGGCTTATAGTGTCGTGTTGTGATAGATGAGACAGCAGTAATCATTTGCATTGGGCAAATAGGTGTTGTGTGGTTAGGTTAATACAACAAAAAAAGTTAAGAGGACAAAAAGACGGTGCGATGACGGCGCTAAGCTAAGATATATAGCTCCATTGTATGCAGGTCCAGGTTGTCTAAAGTCTCCACATGTGGAGCCTAATGTTGAATGACCATTTCAAACTGCTTAACATAGACTTATACCTTTTCTGAACGTTTTAAAGTCAAATGGCAATGTGGCCCCTTATTTTTTCATAATATTAGAAAATTTAAGTGGACTACTTTACCCTAAAATGTACAATGCAACAACCGTTGCACAGTGGAATGGAATCGCCGAAAAGTGGCCAAAAATACAATTTAGGTCTTTTTGCAATTGAGTAAATCTAAATTGGTATTCCTATAGGAAAAACATTAAATTTTTACCTGGTGTTTAATTTAAAAATATTCACCAATAAAAAAGTTATAGAACCTTAAAGTTGACCAAGTTTGATATCAATACCGTCTGTAACTTGAAAACTAATAAAGATTTTTTAATATTTTTTTTTTAAATGAAAGCCAAGATATTTATCTATCTTTACACTTTTATAGTTAAAAAAATATTAACAATAATCTAAAGAACAATTTTTAACTTTAAGTAGGGAAAAGTTTTTTCCGAGCTGAATCGAGCAGCTCTAATTATAAACATTTTGTAGGCCAAAATCTTGTGAACAAGTCCATCTAAAGTTTGGCTACGACTTCGAAAATTATCAAGGTTTTTATGTGGCCGCGCACAGCCGCGGCTTGGCTGGCCGGGCACGACATCAGCGCAGTGTATCAGGTTTATTTAAAATAATTCATGTTTAAATAGGTTAAGATTTTTTATTATTTTTTTTTTAATAAGAGATAAGATATTAATCTATCTTTATAATTTTATAGCTAAAAAATACCAACAAAAAAGTTATTTATTAACAATAATCTAAAGTGCTAAAAACTAAACTTCTGTGCGTATAATGCGGTATGAGGTATGAAGCGCGTTATATTGAGTGTAAATTGTGTATTTAAAAATGTCATATAGAATTGTTTTCTTTCCTAATAATATAATTTATTTTAATTTAATTTATTATTAGTTAGAATATTTAGGTAGGTAAAGTGTTATTAGTAAAAATAGCGATTAAAGATACGTATTTTGTATACATATAGGGGTTTTAATCCTTTTAGGAATAAACAAAAATTTTGTTAGGTAGGTTTTTCATTAATATAAATATTAACAAATGTAGGTAGAAGGTATTCTTTTGTAAATTCACCTAGCGTTAACAACATTATGGCTGATATTTTCAATAAGGATTTAGTAGGTTTTGTATTTGAAACCAAAAATTTTGCTGATTTTCTCTTAATCTTTCAAGAAAATTACTATGCGAATATTGATGAAAACTTATCTAAGAAGCTGGAAGCATTTTTTAGATATACGAAGAATCGTTTACAAAATTCAAGTCGCAACAAACAAAAATGTTTAATTAAAAATTCTGATTGGCTACATAAGCCTTTCTTTGAATCCAAAGGAACTTCAAAGACCCCAAGAAGAAATCTCCCGGAAGGCCAAAGATGGATTTTGTTGAACTATCGCATTGAAGGTTGATTATCTTTATAAATCAACACATAAACACGACTTAGATAATCAGGAGAGATTCCCTTTACAAAAGAAGAGGCTTTGGCGTTGTTTCTTGATTTAAATTTAACTAAAGCAAGTTCAACCTCTTATGGACCATACAGTCATAAGAATCCTGGAATCACGTGAAAACATTCAGGAAGAGATTTCAACAAATTTGGAGCTCATAGGAAAATGGGGTTGTGATGGAGCTTCTGGGCAATCCCAATACAATCAAAAATTTACCAATGCCAATACATCTGATGCCAGTATTTTTATGTGTTCATTTGTGCCCATACAGTTAAATGATGATAAAGAAAATATAATTTGGGAAAATACACACCCTTCTTCAACAAGATATTGCCGACCAATATTATTTGAATATGCTAAAGAGGCCCCAGAAAAAAACGAAATGTACCGTAAACTACATAAAACTTCAAATCGCTTCATTAAAGCCTACAATTTGGAAAACTGAAAATGCTGAATATGAAGTAAAGCACACTTTATTTTCTACAATGGTGGATGGCAAAGTAGTTCAAGTGTTGACAGAAACACCTTCAGCAGCTTCTTGTGTTTGTGGATCAAATCCAACCGAAATGAATAGGTTGGATAGGGTTAGAGATAAAAATATAGATCCACAATCTTTAGAGTATGGGCTTTCAAGTCTTCATGCGTGGATTAGGTTTATGGAATGTGTATTACATATTGCTTATAACCTTCCATTTAAAACATGGACAGTTAGAACTGATAAAAATAAGGCCCTAAGAAAAACAGAAAAATTAAGAATTTTGAAAAAAAAGGAATAAGAATAGATATGCCCGAACAAGGAGCAGGGACAACATCGAGGATCGATAAGTAGTGGGATTTCCCTGGCTAGATGGCCACCTACCACTTACTAATAACTAGTCTTGCTGAAAAGCGGTTAGCGTGTGCTGTAAGTAAACTGGGGAGCGGTTGGACCAGATTATAATTGGGGAGATTGGTGTAGATATAGGGGCGAATAGAATCCCATTTCTTTTCGATTGACTACCACCTAACTGGAAGTCTCGAGAAGTTTAAACTCTCGTGAAACTAAAAACAAGTTATCAAAAAAAATTTATGTCGATAATTGTGTTACCAGTGTGCCGGATGTTGACACTTTGCACCGATTTATTCGAGAGGCTAGATGTTGATTGCAGATGGTAAGTTTGACTTATGAGGGTGATGATTTAATTACTGTGTTTGGAAACTTGGCAAACTTGGCAAACTAACAAAGACGTATTAATGGTTAATACTACGTGTCTGGAGGATGTTTTCAAATTTAAAAAATATGGCATCTATCAAGAGACTACGGCGCAACATATCTTCGACCCCATAGGGCTTACCTATCCAACTACCTTGGTGCCAAAATTGCTGTCACAACGCCTTTGGGAACGGAAAAAATGGAATAAGGCCGTTGGTGATAAGATCAAACGTGAATTTCGTGAGTGGTTCAAGAAATTTCCACAACTACTGGCTATAGAAATTTTACGCTGTTGTTACCTCAACTCGTGGCATACGGCAACTTAGCAGCGGAGATATAGGTCAGTGGGCTGAGTATTATTTACTGATGCTTACCTGTGTTTATTTATATATAACAAAAGAAAAAGGGCGCCAACAAGATTGTTCTCTAGGGTCCTAGAGTTCTAAAGCAAGTAAGATGTAACCTTACCGAACTTAGGTATTTGATAGATTTAGTATTTAAAATAATTAGTTTAATGTGATATTAGGAGTTATTTATAATACTGATTTTTACCTTAATATGGCCATATTAAGTTAACAAAATAATTTAAACGTTTAAAGGTACGATTAGATTTATACTAAAACAAAAATAAATATACCTAAAATGGTGCTTATTTGCTTTGTACAAATATTTAAATAACGTACTACTATGCGCAGTCCTTTCCTCTATTAATAAACAAAATATAAAACCTGTTCATTCCATAATGAGAGAATTTGTTTTAATAACAAACTGCGTAGATTTTAAATAAGCTATAAAAAATTACATGTCCTAACCCTATTAAACGAATATTAACAAAATGTTGCCAAATTTGACTTTGTTAACTATATTATTCATTGCCTCCAGAGAATCTTCAAAATTACCTTCAGGGGATCTGTAAATAATAATTACAATAAAACTTATTATCACATAAAATATATAAATGCGACAGTCCGGACGCATTCTAGTGTAGCAAAGCCACAGGAACTGAAATGGTGCACTACATTACCCTCCAAATTTTAAAACGTCAAGAAAGTGCCTTTGATTATTCGGTCGTAGCTAAACCTTAATGCCATTTATTGCTACAAAAATCAATTACAGCAAAATGGTTCATGGCAAATTATCTTTCCAATGCATTCGTCGAAATCGGTTAAAAAATGAGACCGGGTGTGCCTTCAAATAAAACTTACACTACATTACCCCCTTTATTCTATACACAAAAACGCGAGATATCGGCACGAAATTCTACAGCGTGTAAGGGTCCTGTAGTACATTAACTTTTAAATTCAAATTTGGCGCTATTTTAACCAAGGAAAATTTAAATAATCCACTAAAAATAATATTATAGTTTTAAAAACCGATTGAGTTTTAAAATTTCACTTCTTTGTATCTGAAGGAAGAAATATTAGGGAGACTTGTTTATGTTACACATTCTTGCTTAAGTGGCATAGAGTTTAAAAGCTAGATTAGGAAATATAAAACACAAAGAGGGTTTTTGCTCGCCCTTCGAGATACTCCTGTTAAACAGTTTGTGAAATATATTATAATATAGCTATAGTTTTTGTGATTGTTACCGATTTTCTGCTATAACTAGGTATGCACACTTTTATAAATTGTAATATTTGCTAGTAATGATAAACAACTCCTCGTTTTGGGTTTTCTTCATACATTTTTGCTTATAATTTTGAACAATATTATTTAATTCGCATTTTGGTCTATGACGTTTATCATTGCTAGTTTATTGGGTCCTAATCATTTTAATATGTGTAAATAGCGAGTGATTTTTGGTAATAATTTTTATTGTATCACTATTTCAGTATTTTGGTTTAATATTTTGGGATCGCACATACACTGAGTTCCAATCTTTATGTTGTCTCATTCACCATATACACTAAATTACATTTAACTTAAATTTTAATATTTTGTATTGTCTTTATTTTGTATAACTTTGTATAACTTTTTATTTAACTGAAATGTATTTTATTGTTTATGAAACTCAGTGTATCATCTCGGTATTAAGGTATTTATTTATTTTAACTCTTTGCATTAGTACTCAGGCTAAAGCTTTTAACAATTATATTACCATTATAATATTGGTATTATTTGGGTAAGGTTTATAAAATGCTATTGTTATTATTATTATTATTGCTATTATTATTATTAATATTGATATTACCATTAGGTCATATCATGGTAAGGTAATAGTATCGTTTAGCCTTTTGATAGATTCTGGATAGAGACTTTGATTTAAACTGCTTATCTTAGCGCTTTATTTGGAATATTTGATAATGACTTTAACGTTACTATATATCCAGCGCGACACTTTCTGGTGGTTAGAGTTTTGGCCATGTTTAGGTGTTTCTTGTTATGACTCTCTCCTATTTATTATTTTATTGTATTTTATTTATATTTTATACCATTTTATTTTATTGCATATTGTTTATTTTATTTGTGTCTGTATTTGTACTTGTGTTTTCGTTTGGAGAGTGCTCATACATGAATATTTGAACATGGGTAATATATTACATTATTTCAAAAGGATTTATTCTTAGAAGAAAAATAGTGTTTTTATGTTATTACCTTTATAAACTCTGTGTGCAGAATTGTTTGTATATTTTTGCAATACTTTTGTCTTGTTCTGGAAATTGATTTTGTAAGAATATTTGAACATATTGTGATATAGCGACACTTTAGTGAGATAGGACCACCATAGCTGTCGTTATATCACTTCTCAGAGTATGCAATTGTTACATAGTGTGGTTATTGGCTACGGTTAAATATCTGCACTTGGTTAAAGCATATAAATTCTCTCTATCAGAAATAATATTTATGTCGTTGCTGTAGTTTATTTTTATAAAATCGTATCCTCGTTCAATAGTTCGAAGATGCGTGGTAAGGTAAACAAATATTACAACACTCCGTCATAAAATGACGATCTCTATTATAACTATTTTACCTGAGTGCAAAATGTTTTGAATATTGATAAAAACACCCAAATTATATGAAATATGTTTATCTGCTTTTAAGGATATTTTATTCACTTATTATTTATACTGTATTCTTGTGATTATGACCCATATAACTATGTTTTGTTTTTCATTTTTATTTGAACTGTCTAAGTCGCCAGGGTTTTTATGGTCCGTTTACCCTGTGCTCTGACTCAACGGGCCACCCCTTTGTCTTTGCTTAAATTAAATCAGGGGTTTAAAAATTAAATACTTGTGTTTCTTTAAACCTGACCAATTTCAAAATTTCGTTATTATCAATGTAAGTAAATACACAACGTAGAGTCCTAATTTTTATAAAGTAAGTAAATTAACTAGACTATCACGAATATGCCAAAACAAGTATTTCAGTATACTTAAAGAATCGGGTTACGAAAATACATAGTGTACTTTACAAGCGGAAAACACTTACCTGACTTCTTTCACGCAACCCACCCTGGTAGAAAATAACGTTTCCGCAACAAATTACTAACTTTAGCTATTTGTGTAATTTATTGTTGGAAACCTAAAGTTACTAATACTACAAACAAAATTATTTAATACAAACTTTTGTAATAATACTGAGAGTAAAATCTACAATTTTAGAAAGGCGAATTTTCCATTTTTTGTATAATGATCTTTTACAGATAGATTGGTCATATTTAAACTCATTTGATGACATAAATAGTTCGTGTGAGTCTTTGTATACTAAACTTTACAGTCTCTTCGATAATTATGTACCTAATAAAACCTATATTCATAATAAACAAACATATCCACCGTGGTTTAATAAATCAATAATTCAAAACATAAACAAGAAACTGCATTAGGTATCACAAAAAATACAAAAAAACAAGTAAACAAATATATTTAACCTTGTTTAAGGAAACTCGCCAAATAATTAAAAATGAAATATCTATATCTTATAAACATTATTTAAATAATATTCAGCTTGATTTACTGATCCTGCATCGTTCTGGTCATTTGTCAATTCAAAAAAAGGACAATCCCGAATCCCGAGTAAAGTTATGGGCCGATTCTGTGCAACCTGTAAGCAAATCTGTAACTTTTCTATAGGCTTATAAACAATTTAATATTACCTATTATATATATATAAATAAATATTTAAAAAGATTTATACAATAATAAACTTTACTTTTAATTGATTTTATTTTTTTTATTTTGTGCTATTAAATTTTTAGAAGCTTTTAGAAAAGTTACAGATTTGCTTATATGTTGCACAGAATCGGGCCATTAATCTTAATAATATTGAATACGATAAACCTAAAGAAATAAACTGCGCACCACTCAATGTGTCGCGACCAAAAAGTTCGTTCTTTTTCAAAACGACATAACTTGTTTGTTTCTTGAACGATTTAATTTTGGTTTGTGATGTCTGCTAGCCTCATCCTCTGGCAATTTATGCTATAGATATGAAGCTCACGGTTGGTCAAGTAAACTTCCTACAGGGTGATATGTTAAACGGTGAAAAATTTCAATAACCTTATCCAAGCCCCGTTTGTAAAAAAATATTTTTTTTTCGTTTTTACTTTGAAATAATGAAGTATTATGTGTTACCTTGAGT